GGCAGATTCTAGTGTTATCTTTACCTCTAATTTTTAACCATAAGGTTGCATGGTCGGATTTTAAAATAGGTATATGTATTAGAAAACTATTTTGAAATAGCATCCTCAAAGCATCATTAACTACAACTCTATTAATCCTTCTTTTATATTTTCCCTATGCCAGATAAAAGGGTTTCCTTTGAAACCCAAATCCTGAAAACCACAGTAGTAAAAACAATCAGAAAATTGATTTATGAATGCTAGGTTTGCAGGTCTACCTCCCAACTTATCTCTCTCAAATGGGACAGAATTGAAATCCCCAGCCACACACCAGGGATCCTTAATGTTAGAACTAAAATTAGTCAAAAGTTTCTAACACTCAGCTCTCCTCCCTTCCTGGGGGCTAGCATACATAGAAGAGAGCACGTAGTCCTTTTGCCCATTCCTAATTCTAAGATGAATAAGGTAAGTATTTTTTCTAAGATAGTAACCTTTATTTTACTAGTGTTCCAACAACACCAAATACCCTCAGAGTAGCCTATGGCATCTACTTTTATAGATCCATCAAAGTTAATTTTTTTCATAACCGTGTCAGCCTTGTCAAGGCTAATTCTGGGTTCAAAAAGTGCAATAAAATCTAGGCTATGAATTTTTATTAGATCATTAATGAGTTTAGGAAATGTTTTACTTCCTGCACCTTTACAATTCCAAAACAAACAGTTCATAATTTTATAGAATGGGTTTAGGCACATCCTCAGGATGTTCAGATAACATTGTGGCATTATCTACACAAATAGGATTTACAAGGCAGGACTGCTCAGTTGTACTTATTTTGTCCACCTCCATTGTTAAATGAATATCAGGTGGCTTAGTAGTGAAAAATTGATTGGTATTCTCCTAGTCTTTCCTTAGATAATTAGAACTTAAGCCTATAAGATCTAATATGCTATGGCTCTCCTTATTATTTTCTTGAATATTCTCTTGGATTCTTGACATTAATCTCATAATTTCCTTACTTTCTTGTTCAGATATGTTTTTGAATTTATCTTGTTCATTTATGAAAATATTAGTGTTGTTATCCTTGGGTAAATTCACCTTTTCTTGTATTGACTTAACAGATTTTACTGTAGCTCTGATTTTGACATTCTTCTTGAGATTAATTCCAAGTGTAGTGTTATTATTCTATTTACTTTCCAGTTTATTAACAATAGGTTTCTGAGCTATTTCAGAGCTGGTAATGGAGATTTTAGGGCTTTTACTAGAGTCAGAATCTAAATCATGATGAATTTCTTGAGTTGAGTCACCCAGGACATCAAATCTGGATCCTAATGAAATATCTTTTGTTTTACCAGATTTAAAGGGAGTACCAGAAGACTGAAGATGACTAGGTTTTTTTTGAAATTATTTCTTTGCTAGCATTTAAGGTTCAAATATTTCATCTTTCTTTTCAAGTTCAGTGCCTATGGAATCAACAATCATTTCTTTAACTGAATTAAGAATATTAGATACTTTCCCCCTATTTTCTATATTATTGTTATTAGTATTCAATTCTTGCTCCAAGGTTAGAGGGTTAATTTTAATAGAGTCTACACAATGCTCCTTCCTATGCCTACTTTCCACAGTTAAAACAGATTAAATGTAACCCTTCATACTCTACTCTGAACTCCTGACCTAGAGCCTTAAAAGCTAGGACCAGTTGCTTCCTAAGATCGATTTCAACACGAATTCTAGCAAACTTTCCTCTAGGCAACAGAGAGGTATAGGGATCAACCTTTAACATTGACCCCAGGTAGGTTTCAACCTGCCACAAGAACTTATTATTATATAGTTCTAAAGGTAAGTCAGGTATTCAAACCCAAACTGCTATTTTCTTTAGGTTATGGTCTTTAGTCCTAAACAAGGGTCTCCACCTCTGGACAAGGAGATAGTGATCTAATATTAGTCACAAACCTTCAAACAAAGCATGTTTATAATCGTCCATGCTCTCAAATTGGACTAAGAAAAAATCATTATTTAGATCAAGAAGTTTTATCGATCCATTTTTCTCCAAATATTTGTAAGTCTTTGATTCAAGTAATTAAAACTAACAGATTTGCCTAAGAATTTGACTATGAGGGTATATTTCTAGGGAGAACACAACACTTCATAGTCCTTTAAAGGTATTTTAAGGTCAAGACACAAATCATGCACACTATTTATTTCACTAATTTCTTTAGAATCAGCATTAATATTGAAATCATCTAACATAGATTTTATGATATCTTCATCATTAAGAGTTATATCTATATCTAATGATTCCAAAACTTTATCCTTATAAGATACATGTTCAGATACAATAGGGTTAGAAAACACTTGAAATGGCTCTAGATCTATAGTACGTTGATCTTCTTGCATGTGTTCTTCTTGGGCTTCCATGGACACCTCGACTTTGATCTTGATCTTCTTCTTGCTTCTGTCTATCAAATCCATTTCTTCATTCGAATGTTTCTCAGCCTCTTGACCCTCTATCCCTGTGGGATTCATTGACCTAGCGGTCTTTGATGTAGCATTGTCAATCTCCAAGTCACTGTTTTTCCTGTGACAGCAAACCCTCAAAGAGAAAAATTAGGGTGAGCACTCCAACAATGTCTCTCTATCTTGAAAGAAAGGGAAATTTCTTGGAAAAAACCATAGCGACGTTGTGTCTTAACTTTTTCCTCTTATCGTAAAACTAAGTTGTTTTTAAAGACATAACAAATAATACTTATTATATCTAATTAAAAAATTCTATAAAAATTATAATATTAATGTTATAAATATATCAATATAATTTTAATAAAAACTATTTATTAATTATTATCCTAACAATAACCGATTTACAAATTGTCGCGAGTGTTAGAGAAAGTTGCTATTTAGTATACATGCATTGATTTTATGAGTGCATCTCAATATATTTCATGCTTCCATTTCAAGTGTTAAACTCTTCTAATCTAATCTCTACTTCTAAAACAATGGTAGGGGAAAGTCGTTTTCCTTTTGAGATTTAATATTTAAATATATATACAAACTTCTTTTAAAATAAAATGAGAACTCCAGGGCATTTCTTTTGCAATTATCTAATTGGGATTAAGTGTCAAACAAATCTAAAAGAACTTAATTGGAAGTAAGTGTTAATATTGCCTGAAACTGAGGTTATTCTTTCTGAAGCATCTCCTGAGCAAACTGCGCTTTAATTGACCGAATTCAAACTTATATTTAAAACTAAGATACTTTTTATTTTAATATTTAAATTTTAAATGATTTGTGATTTCTATCCCAAATTAATGCTGATATAAACAGTTGTCTCCTTTGTTGCTTCTCCATTAACTTTTTAATCATATCTGCTTTCATCTTCAGATCTTTTGCTTTCTAAATAAATCCACAACATAAATTCAAGCGTATCTTTAATTGACACAATTCAAACTTATATCTAAATCTAATATACTCTTTATTCTAATATTTAAATTTAAAAATACATTTTTTTTATAGAAAATCTTAATAAATCATTTTCAAATTTAAATTTTAAATGATTTGTGATTTCTATCGTTACATTTGTTTCATTTAAAATTTTGAAAGACTGAGATTAAGTGAAAAGATAATGAAGTTAAACTTATCATTTATCCTATAAAATAACTTAAATTAACTAACTCTTATTAATAAGCTTAATTTAATTTTTTTTATAATTCCAGTCCATTAAATTTTAAAATAAAAGAAATAAATCAGAAATAATTTAAAATTTAAATTTGAAAAATATGTGTAAGGTTTTTTTAGTCATTAAAAAAAGGGTTAAATTTGAATATTAAGATAAAGAGTATCTTAGATATAATTTTGAATTTTGTTAATTAAAAATATGCTTGAATTTAAATATTAGAATAAAGATTATCTAACAAATGATATTGAATTAGAAAAAGATATAGAAGCTTGCATACCCAAGATATTCTTTTCTTCCGAAAAACTGCATCCATTGTTTTCGTGTTGATATTTGGTGGTAGAGTATTAGTATTATTTTATCATAATAAATATAACCTACATAGATTAAGCATTTAATAATAATAATAATATATTTTTGTTAGAGTGGAAATAAAAATAATAAAAAATTATAATACTCTTTTACATTCTCTAATTAATCAAAATTTCATGTTAAGTTACATGGTTTTTTAATTTTTTTAAATTATGAAAAGTTAACTTTTATCAATTGCTTATCTAATTGTTTTATTTAATATTTTATAACTTATTTATTTAACATACATTTCTTTTTTAAACAATAATTCATTCCTTAATTATTTAAAATCTATATATTTATTTTTTATTTAACACATTTAATATTTTAATATATTTTCCTTTTATCAACCCTTAACAATACTGTTTAAAAATAGAATAGTTTTATCATATTATTATTTTCTATATATAATTTTTTTTCAAAATTTTCTATATTATTTTTTATTTAATAATTAGAAAAATATTTTAAATTTAAATATTGAGATAAAGAGTATCTTAGATATGATTTTGAATTTTTTCAATTAAAGATATGCTTAAATTTAAATATTAGAATAAAGATTATCTAACAGATTATATTGAATTAGAAGAAGATATAGAAACTTGCATATCTGACATATTCTTTATTCTAATATTTAAATTTAAAATACATGCATTTATGTTTTCAGAAAATCTTAATAAATCAGTTTAAATTTAAATTTTTTTAATTTGTATAAATAAGAGGCATGTAAATTAGAAGAGGATATGAAACTTGGAAGGGTTTGTGGATTGATTCTCTTTGCTACTAAAGGTGAATTATTATTTTAGGATGATTCCCTCTTCCTATTAGGTTCCTAAACTGGTTTATGTATTCTAGCATTAGCAGAGAGTTTGCATGAAGTGTGAAAAAACGTTACTGAATGGTTGAATTAATATAATTTAAATTAATATTTGCTTTAATTTTATAGTTTTGTTTTTAACTTTTTTTTAAATTCAATTTTAAATTCAAACCTTACAAATGATAGGCCAATGCTTTTGCAATTCCTGGTACGCACCCTAATCCCTATTCTCTAAAATCTTGCACAATTCTGTTTGTGCGTTGGTGGCCAATGCTTGTGATTCTCCAAAATCCCCATTCTTCATGTTTTATTGATGAGTTTGTTTGATTCGTTTGTGTTGTTGATGATTATATTTTGTTGTGTGGTTTGCTAGTTTGTGATTGTGGGTTTATGCATGTTGCTGCCATAGGAAGTGTGATTGCTCACTTTGCTAATCCGTTGCTAGTTTTGCCTCGCAGGCTTTTGAGGATTCTGTTTTGAAGAAGCTGCAAAAGGTCTGCCATTTCTGCAATTTTTACATTTGATATTTCTTAAGCTGCTTTGTTGTTTCTTGATTGAGTCAATGGATCATGTTATTAGGGTAAGATACAAAATACATTAGAATCTTGATTTGGTTACTTCATGTTCATGTAAAAAAAATGAAAATGATTTTGAAAAACTTTACTAGAATTATGAGACTCTTGATTTGGTTACTTCATTCTAATTGTTTTTTTATTAACCCCTGTTAATTTGAATCAGAATTAGAGAAACATATGTTGATGAAAAAACCATAACAATAGTTTTGGTTCCAACTGCAGCTGATGCGTTGACATGGACGAGACAAAAAACATAAGAAACATATGCATACTGGCACACGTGGACCACGGCAAAACAACGTTGGCCGACCACCTGATCGCGGCGGCTGGCGGCGGCGTGGTCCACCCGAAGCTAGCGGGTCGGGTCAGGTACATGGACTATCTGGACGAGGAGCAACGCAGAGCCATCACAATGAAGTGCTCCTCCATCCTCCTCTGCTACAACCCCCACTCCATCAACCTCATCGACTCACCCGGCCACGTTGACTTCTGCAGCGAGGTATCCAGTGCCGCCCGGCTCTGCGACGGCGCTCTCCTCCTCGTGGATGCCGTGGAGGGCGTCCACATCCAAACCCGCGCCGTCCTCCGCCAATGCTGGATTGAACGCCTCACCCCTTCCCTCGTCATCAACAAAATCGATCGCCTAATCACCGAGTTGAAGCTCTCTCCCTCCGAAGCCTACACTCGTCTCTCGCGTATCGTTCATGAAGTTAACTGCATCTTTAGTGCCTTCAAGTCTCAGAAATATTTATCTGACGTGGACATGGGCTCTCATTTAGACGACAACGAGGAGGATGCGTTTCAGCCGCAAAAAGGGAATGTCGTTTTTGCTTGTGCTTTGGATGGTTGGGGTTTTGGTATTAATGAGTTTGCTGAGATATATGCGTCAAAGCTTGGTGCAAGTGTGAACGCCTTGCGGAGAGCGTTGTGGGGTCCATGGTATTTTAATCCCAAGACTAAGATGATTGTTGGCAAGAAAGGGATTTGTGGTGCTATGGACAAGGATAAGACTATGTTTGTTCAGTTTGTTTTGGAGCCATTGTGGCAAGTGTATCAGGGAGCTTTACAAGGGGATAGAGGGTTGCTTGAGAAAGTTATTAGGTCGTTTAATTTGTCTGTTCCCGCGCGAGAATTGAAGAATAAGGATGCTAAAGTGGTGCTTCAGGCGGTTATGAGCTGCTGGCTTAAGCTTTCGGATACTGTTTTGTCTATGGTTGTTAGGTTTATGCCTGACCCTGTGATGGCACAGTCGTTTCGTATATCCAGGCTCATTCCAAAGAAGTGGGAGGAGGAGGCGGCGGTGAGGAAAGCGGTGGAGGTGTGTGATTGTAGGCCTCATGTTCCTTGTGTTGCTTTCGTGTCGAAGATGTTGGTTGTCCCTGTTAAGATGCTTCCTCCTGGTTATGAAGATGAGGAGGAGGAGTTGGATGAATGTTTCTTGGCATTTACTAGGGTCTTTAGCGGGGTTTTGTCCGCAGGGCAGAGAGTTTATGTTCTTTCTGCTCTGTATGATCCTCTAAAAGGGGAAACAAAGCATATACAGGAGGCTGAATTGAAATCGCTGTATTTGATGATGGGCCAAGGGTTTAAAGAAGTGTCATCTGCTAAAGCAGGAAATATTGTTGCTATCCGAGGCCTTGGCCAGCATATATATAAGACTGCTACCCTTTCCTCTACTAAGAACTGTTGCCCTTTTTCGAGTATGGCTTTCCAAGTTGCCCCGGCTTTGAGAGTTGCAATTGAGCCATCTGAGCCTGCGGATGTGGCCGCACTGCACAAAGGCTTGGAGCTTCTGAATATAGCAGATCCATTTGTTGAGGTCACATTTTCTGCAAGAGGAGAGCATGTTCTTGCTGCTGCTGGCCAAGTTCATCTTGAGAGATGCATAAAGGATTTGAAGGAGAGGTTTGCGAAAGTAAGCTTGCAAGTCTCTCCGCCTCTTGTGTCCTACAAAGAGACCATTGAGGGAGATGTTTCCAATGTGCTGGAAGATTTTAACTTTCTAAGTAGGATATCAGGTTATGTGGAAAAGACAACATCCAATGGAAGATGTGTTGTTCGGGTGAAAGTGATGAAACTTCTACCTTCTGTTGTAAAGGTGCTCCATGAAAACTCTGATTTACTTGCAGATATCATTGGAATGAAGTCAGGGAAGACAGTAAAACGTTTGGAAATACAGGGACCCAGTATTCTTGAAAATGACAAGCCAGCTGAAGCGCTGAAAAAACGCATATTGGATGCAGTGGAGAGTGATATTTTGAGCAGGAATGAAAATGACAAGGACTATGCCGAGAAATGTAAATTGACGTGGCTTAAGATACTGAGGAGAATATGGGCACTTGGACCAAGCCATATTGGTCCTAACATTCTCTTTACTCCTGATATTAACGCAGAAAACACTGATAGCTCTGTTCTAATACGTGGTTGTTCTCGTCTATCTGAAAGGATGGGCTTTGTAGATTCTAGTATCAGTGATTCCATTGCTGAGACATCTTCAAATGTGGATGCTGAGCACCTTGAGGATAGTGTTATAGCTGGGTTCCAAAATGCTACCTCAGCTGGACCATTGTGTGATGAACCTATTTATGGTTTGGCATTTATCATTGAGGCACGCATATCTCCACTTTCAAAGCATCAAGAAGAATCTGAAACACACCAACAATCCCAGCAGAGTGGCACCTTTGCAGGGGAGGTTATGGGAGCTGTAAAAGATGCTTGTAAAGCAGCTGTGCTTCAGAATAAGCCTCGCCTTGTGGAAGCATTGTACTTTTGTGAATTGAATACTACTACTGAATATTTAGGTCCCATGTATGCTGTACTTGCCCGAAGACGAGCACGAGTTTTGAAGGAAGAGATGCAAGAAGGTTCCCCTTTCTTTACTGTGCATGCATATGTTCCTGCTTCTGAGAGCTTTGGTTTTGCAGATGAGCTTAGAAGGTGCACTTCTGGTGCAGCAAGTGCACTTCTTGTACTTAGCCACTGGGAAGCACTTACAGAGGATCCTTTCTTTGTACCTAAAACAGCGGAGGAAATTGAAGAGTTTGGAGATGGCTCTAGTGTTCTTCCAAATACAGCAAGAAAGTTAATTGATGCAGTTAGACGGCGTAAAGGCCTTCCTGTGGAGGAAAAGGTTGTGCAGCATGGAACCAAGCAACGGACACTGGCTCGTAAAGTCTGATATAATTTTTTATTACTATTGTCTCCTTGGGAGAAGAACATGTAATTGTTGAATGTGAATAGGGTGACAAGGCACGGTGATACATACTCTGCTTTTTGTAGCTGGAATTAACACACTTCTTCCTGTAACATCCTTCGTTTTATGTAAATAATTTTATTTGATAATTCATAATATTAGAAATATAATTAAATAAATTCGTAAGAACTTGTACAACTTTAGAAAAAATGATAGAATCTAGAAATATAAGCTAATAAAATTTGACAGATTTATAAAATTTTATCAAGTTAAAAATTTCACTATCAATGAAATGAAGATACATATATATTTATACATCTATTACATCAAACTAGTTATATTGGAGTAGTTCTTTCACACAAATTTTTAACGAGTATGACCCTAGAATGGATCAACCATCTCCATTTTTTTCTTTCGTTATTTAAAACACATTAGTAAAGGTGAGTATTTCCCGTCTCATTAAATTTCTTTTATTATAGAATATTTTAAATGAAACTAAAATTAATGGCAAACATTCTGTTCTAACTCATTGCTATTAATAAATAACTTACATTAACAACCATCATATCAAAGCACATACAACAATTCAATCATTTTTGGCTAATGTTTATGACATACATTTCTACATTAACCTGTATGTTATATATGTATCATATCGTCTCAATTAATATATCACAATATATGTGTCCTAGTCGCACCCGTCGATGTACTACATCACATGTATCGTAATAACATAAATCGATATGTTATAATGCATATATTATAATCATACAAATTCTATACTAGTTCACATCTATAACACTTTCATATTCATCATACTTTCATAGTCATTGCCCCTAGGATCCCTTGAGAACTTCATAGCATAGATAGCTATTGGTTAGCTGTAGCAACACAGATACAGGTGTGCCGACCTGACCTCTTTTAGTAAAGGTATAGTTAGGAGTTTTGTCAAGAAATGAGGGTGTAATGCCTTTATTTTCAACAATTCATTGTGCACCCATTTATAGTTAGCATTAACCATTCTCATTTCCCCAAAAATTTTCAAATCTTCTCCAGACTCTATAGGTATAGTTAGAAGTTTTGTCAAGAAATGAGGGTGTGGCCTGTAAATGCCTTTATTTTCAGCAATTCATTGTGCACCCATTTATAATTAGCATTCACCGTCCTCATTTTCTCAACATTTCTCAAATCTTCTCTAGACTCTATACCCAATGTATCTTTGTAACTATCTATACTTATTCTCTTTCTCTTTCTCAATATTTCTCATTTTTAGTTCCATATTTTTTCTATCGATCAACATGTCATAATACGTAAGTTATGATTTATATAAATTTGTGTATCACAATATATATATATATATATATATATATATATAGTGTAATCATACTTTTCAAGTTGTTTTAACCCACGCATCATGATCATGCATCTTATTCTTTCTCAGTCATGTTCTATTTTTCCTTTCATATATCACATACTTTCGAAATCAATCAACATTTCCATTATTCATGTAAATTTACCCAATTTAGACACATATCAGCTATCAAACTATATATATACTTATTGCATTATGCCAATCTAACATAGAGAAATTATCATACAATATCACACCATATAATCAGTACAATATGCCAATCTAACACAAAAATTATCACACAATATCATAAAATATCACAACATACAATCAGTACAATATACTGAAGGTCAGACACCTTCGGAGTCAGTCCAATTCGTGCAGTTTCATAATAATTCACTAGAGATCATATTTCTTTAATCTCAATATAGTCTTCTAATCTAAAGTTCAGTATTTTATGTCTTTTTTTACTTAACTCATATACATCCTAAGTAACTTAGTCCTAAAACTTCTTAATGTTGTTCTAGCCCATAACTTTTGCTAAGAATCTAATTCCATTAATTTCAAATAAACTCAAAACCTTTATTTATACCAAAAATACACTTTCACCATATGATTTCATAAAAATTTATAGATTATTACTAAAATAGGTTACTCAGATTCTCATGAGGTCACTATATATAGAAATAAAACTAAGGCTCGAGAATACTCGCTTACCCGGAATTGGTTCCTAAAAAATGAGTTCTTTGAGAGATCTAACAGGGAGTTCCACGATATCAATGGGAATATCGTCCGCAAGATGAAGTTTCCTAAGTATTTCGAGATAGATATCTTAATATGAGAAGAAAACCGAAAGAAAGGAATAAAACTAGATATCTGAGCTTTGAGAAACTTAATTGGATCTGAATGAAATTGATGTTTGAGCTCTGATCTAGAAGATATTTGAAGTTTAGGAGAGTTCTCCCTTGAGAGGGAAAGTAGAGAGAACAGAAAAAACGAAGAGAGAAGGTTGTATGGTGAGAAATGAACATTTTTGAGCCTGAGATTCCTTAAATACCCTTTTAAACTCGCGCGACCTCGCTTGAGCGAGATCTACCCTCGCCTGGACGAGCCTTTCTCACTTAGGCGAGACAACCAGACAGCGAAACTACTCATCTTTATGATATTCTCGCTTAAGCGAGGACACTCTCGCTTGAGCGAGATACAATCTCGCCTGAGCGAGCTCTACCTTGCCTGAGCGAAATCGAGTCCAGAGAGCACCCTATATTTCCCGCGACTCCTCACCTGGGCGAGCTCTATCTTGCTTGGATGAGCTGCTCCCAGCCTGAGCGAGACCCCTTTCTCTCTTGGGCTAGAGGACAATTGGGGCAACTTTATCTCAGCTCGCTTGAGCGAGAGAGTTTCAGAACGCTCTCTTTTAGAAAATCCTACTTTGCTTGAGCGAGATCTATCTCGCTTGAGCGAGAAACCTTTTTATCCAATTTCCTATTTTTCTCACACCAAGGCAACAAAATTGAGGGTGTTACACTTCTCCTAACTCTTTTCAGAACCATATTACCTACAGTAGTTAGAGGTTCGTTAGCATGCATAAATCCAATTGCTTATATCATCACTGACTCGCCATTACAATAAATTGGTAACTTTTATGAAGTAAGTTTCCTTCATCCGACAATTTTTCCTTTGTAGCATCTAGTAACTGATTAGAATATTAACACAAAGATAATCCTTTGTTCTCTAGGTTTATGAAACCTGCATAACTACATAGGTGATGAATATGCTATGGGAGGTTTTAGATTCACAAGAATGCTAAACATTACACTTGTCAAAATCGGTTATAGCCATAGCCAGCCACTTAACCTAGTGTATAGCCCCTATTGTACTTGTTATACATATCATTGATCAAATACTTAAAATTTTATGTTTTGCTTTCTCCATTGCTACCAGTAAAGCTGCATATCCTCATGTTTGGCTTATGTTTCCCTAGTATTCTACCTGTTATTGTTGTAAGCAGTATACATATCATTTCTTGTTCTGGTGTATAAAATAGCCAAAATCTAAGAGAAAAATTGCACCTTAGTGTTTGTTAAATGAACTTTGAACATATCTACAGTTGAGAACAGAGCAGATGAAAAAAATAATATAATTGCTTGATAATTCGTTTACAGAATTTGTACATCTATTTATAAGGAAAAATAATCCTAAAACCAGTAACTGGGAAAGCATAAATCTATACAGTATCCACATAATTATCTGCAAAATATTCTTTAGCCTAATTATGGAAATATCCAATAATTATGAGAGAGAATCAACTGCTGAATTATAGGCAGCATCAATCATATGTTTACAACAATCCCTCTCAAGCTGGTGAATGAATATCTATCATTTTCATCTTGCTTGAAAGATCTTGAAAATGGATTGCAACTCGTTGTCCAACTTTTTTTTAATAAAATTCCTATCTACTTCTATGTGTTTTGTCTTATCATGCTGAACTGGATTATGTGCTACAGTGATATTAGTTCTCTTTTAGCCAATTTTTCATTGAGAGTGCTTTTTGTTAGCAACTTTATAATTTCATGCAGTTTTTTAAGAGATGGTCAGAATAGCAAGACCTGTCATTCTCTGGCCAGTTCATCTTCTTGCATTTGATGGTTGTTAGCCCCAAACACCAGTTTGACAATTCGTCAAACTGGTTGAAGCTTGAGAGGAGGCTTCATTGGTTCATGTTTTAAAACACAGCCGAAAAAAATTGATGCTATAGCTCTACGGTCTACATTACCATGTTAAGATACCTAATTTTAATGTTCTATCAATAAACTGTAGGAAATGTATCTTGATGAGGTAGCTTCCATGTGTTAATTAATTATCAAATTGCTTGTGTTTTTTATATGCAGGACAACGGTAAGGTTGAGGATGAACAGCCTGCTTGGGCTCCATTACGAGATAATTATTTGCTGACTGGTTCAAGACTGAAGTACTGGGACAAAATGCCACTAGGTATCTCTTGAAGTAGTAGTCAAATTGAAACTCACTACTCAATACTTATCATTTTCCTTACCCCTAGGATAAAAATATATTTGCTCACACTGAGAAACTTCAGAAAATAGTAGTCTACAATTTAGGTGAAGATTAGTGTTTTAAAACTTGAAAAGAAGCATTTGAGTTATTTATAATATCATATTTTGAGTAGTGGTAATGTTATAGATTTTTAATAGCTAGCTTGTCGGGACGCGTTCACACGCAGTATATGAATGTTCAAAACTTGAAACCTACTTCTGGGAGCAGAGAAATAGTGTTAAAGTGGACACAAATTTGATGAAATATAATGCGATTGCCAGTCACATGTGGGTGAAAATTCCTCAGCCAATAAAGTGCTAAGGATTTTTAATGCAATGCAGAAAGAGGTGACAAAGTTCACATCGTACCAAAGAAAGATGTTAAGTGTTAACTTTTGAAAAAGGATAGAACAGAACAGTAAAATATTACTATTTTGAACTAATTTTTCATATAAATACGCTATTACTGTTTGTTATCAAAATCAAAAGCTTTTAAGCATACTAGCTATCAAAAGTGGGTCATCGAGCTCGAAAAGAGGCGAATCATCGAGAGCCCCGAAAGTGGCAAGTGAGGCAGCGTCTTTATTTAATTCTGCAGGTACATGAACAAATCGAACTACTCGCCATTCGCGCATTACTGACAACGAGGTCTTGATTCTTGCAACAAGAGGAGCAAAGACATGGGAAATTTCTACGGCAGATGTAATCAAATGTATTGCATCTTTTGACTCGCATCTGCAC